GAGCCCGATGTGGGACTCGATCCCAGGACTCCAGGATCATGACCTGAGCCGAAGGCAGTCGCTTAACCAACTGAGCCACCCAGGCGCCCTCTATGGAAGGATTTAATTTAGTAGGTGGAGACTAAGCGAGACTAAGGAGTTCAGTGTTTTCATAGAACTTGTTTTTGAAATGGACTAAAAATCAAAATTCAACCAGGTTGTAATTTTATTATTAAGCTCTATTTTTGTAGGAAAATAGCCATTTCAACTAAAGTTTATGAAAGCTTATAGGTACTCTTCATTCTCTGGTTGTATAGTTTTGAAATTAGCATTTGTAAAGAAGCTGCCTATGAAATTTACTTGATATTTTGGCTACTCTTCTAATTACTGTGGAGACCTGAGTTTTGACAGTATTTACAGCTCTTTATACTTGTTCTAATATTGTTTATACATCTCCCCTCCCCTTTCTTTTCTTTTTCTTTCTTTTTCTATTCTGAAGGAAGTTGACTTTTCCTGTTTTTTATTCAAAGAGATATTTGGATTCTTTTTTTTTAATGGTTAAGGGGATTAGATGTGAGTTCCTATGTAAGTGGATTTTTATATTAGATGATTTCCTTTTCTAAATACAGGCCAATTATTACACATTGTAAAAAAGAAAGAAACATTATTACACATTGTATAGTCCTGATATATTTCTTTTGTGACATTTTTTACTGGTATGAAAAATGCCGAAATGTAAATTTGATTATAATCTTTTCTAGACAAGATCTGTATTGTTTTATTTTTTTAATTGTATGTTTAGAACTTTGGACAACAAAGAAACTATAGAATAACTGGATTTCTTGTTGTTTTTATTGCTCTCGGGATTTCCTTTTTTGCTTTAAATTTCTGTATTTTGAAATACCAGGTTCTGCTTTCTCTGCAAAGCCAATGTTTCATTCTGAATTTGCCCTCTCTGAAGTTATTCTACTTACCATGTGTATAAAAGGGGTATTATACTACTTATTTCGTAGAGTTGGTTGTTGTGAAGGCTAAGAATCCATGCAAAACACCTAGTGTAAGTGAGTGCCTAGTTCATAGTAGCCATTCCGTAAATGTTAGCACATCATACATGGCAAGGCATTGAAGTATTTTTTTCCTTCCTTATGTTTTAGCATAGTGTTTTAAAATTTGTTTGGTGGGCCGCCTGGGTGGCTCAGCCGTTAAGCGTCTGCCTTCAGCTCGGGTCATGATCTTAGGGTCCTGGGATCGAGCCCTACATCGGGCTCCCTGCTCCGCGGGAAGCCCGCTTCTCCCTCTCCCACTTCTCTTGCTTGTGTTCCCTCTCTCGCTGTGTCTCTCTCTGTCAAATAAAATATTTTTTTAAAAAATTTGGTGGTTGGTTCTAATTATTATATTTGTGGTGTTGTGGCTTATTAAATGCCCTTTGTATTTTCTGGTAGCAATGGTATAAGACTTTATAGACTGAGGATAAAAGGAACTTAGTTGATTGTTATATCAATTTGTTCTATGATTGGCTAATCAATCGCATATCACCAAACCAAACCACTGAAGTTGTTTCATAATCTCTTACGCATTTTCTTTCCACATGGATTGAATATTTAAAATTTCCCCCTCTGATCTCTTCTTTTTTTATAAGATTTTATTTATTTATTTGACAGAGAGAGAGACAGCAAGAGAGGGAACACAAGCAGGGGGAGTGGGAGAAGGAGAAGCAGGCCTACTCCTGAGCAGGGAGCCCAACGCGGGGCTCGATCCCAGGAGCCCAGGATCATGACCTGAGCCGAAGGCAGACGCTTAACAACTGAGCCACCCAGGCGCCCCTCTTTTTTTTTTTTTAAAGTAGAGATTTCTTTGGCAGTGATGGTATGGCTGTTCTCTTGAAGATGAACAGTCATCGCTTTAAAGTAATGACACTGGTTCTTATTTTTATCTAGTTTCAAACCGGAGGCCCTATCGACAGTACTACGTGGAGGCTTTTGGGGACCCTTCAGAGAGAGCCTGGGTGGCTGGAAAAGCAATCGTCATGTTCGAAGGCAGACATCAATTTGAAGAGCTGCCTGTTCTTAGGAGAAGAGGGAAGCAAAAAGAAAAAGGATATAGGCACAAGGTAAAGAAATTAAGCCTCTCTAATTATCTTCTTTGGGGTGGGCAGGGAAGAGGCAAGGAAGAAGTCTTATATTATTTAAATATAAGTTATTTCCTTTGGTAGTAGGATATTTGTGAGAAAATAAATGAAAGCAGTGTTTTTCCTGGGATGAAATCGGGTAGCCTTCTATATATTTACACTCAATTTTTTGAGAAATAATTTCAGATAACTTTTGCCATGTCAGTTAGATGTGATGGTATAAAATGACATGACCAGTCTTCTTTGTTCATATCTTTTGTAAGAAGAAAATGATCCTCGAAATGAAATATTCTACTTCTCACTCTCTGGATTAATTCTCTTAAAAATGAGAAAGATAAAACTAAACATCTTTGTTTGTTGTCTTGGGTTTTTGTTTGTTTTTATTTTAATCATCTGGTGCTCATCATAGACAAGTGCACTCCTTAATCCCTATCACCTATTTCACCCATCCTCCTTCAGGTAACCATCAGTTTTTCTCTGTAGTTTAAAGAGTCTCTTTCTTTGTTTGTCTTTCTGTCTCTTTTTTCCCCTTTGCTCTTTTGTTTCTTAAATTACACATATGAGTAAAATAATATGGATTTGTCTTTCTCTGACTTATTTCACTTAGCACTGTACTCTCTAGCTCTATCCAAGTTGTTGCAAATGGTGTTTTGGTTTTTGTATGTGGTTGTTAATACTTAAAGTTGCAGTTTCAAGCCCAGTTATGTTTTAATAAAGAATATTGTGTTTTTGTTCCATTTGCTTGATGTTTTGTGTTAAAGTTAGGTGAATAAAATTTTGGTTTATTTCTTTTAATATTCCTTTGTAGTTAATTCTAGAAGGTGAAATAGTTCCTGTTAGGTTGGTGTTTCAGGCTTTTCTGTGTATAAATACTTAATAATCATTATTAGGATAAGTTAGAGTCATTATGCAGTCCCTTCTGTTAGTTGAATTCTCTGAGGATTAGTGTCTTCATCTCTAAAACTAGTGTAATAATATGTGCACTAGAACTGTTGGGAGAATTAGAAATAATGATAAGTATTTAATATGTCATAAGTTTGATGCCCTAAAACAACTAGTATATGTTATCGTTATGATGAAGGAGGCTTAACTGCATCAGTTCCAATACTTTGGGTGGTTGGTGGTAGGGAGGTGTTAAAGAGTTTTTGTGTCAAGCCTTTAGTTATGTAGCTTAACCAACCCATTTTCAAAGGAGTTCAGTAGGGCTTTCAGATTCTGGAAAGTTGTTTTACTCTCGTCACAGTTATGAGAATTAATGAGTGTGTGTTTGTGTGTAAAATAGATTAAAGGGTCAGCTCATTGCTTTATAAGAGGAGGCTACCTTTCCAGTGACTGAATTTTTACATGCTCAGTGGAACATCCCTTTTATAAGTATTAAAGTATAGTTGGCTAATAGTTAGACCCTTGACTAATAACGATTGTATGAAGCCAAGGAGGGAAATAAGAGTTTGAAAAATTAGTTATATTTCACAGAACATCAGTGTCTCCATCTGTGAGGAATCAAGAAAGGCACATATGTAATACCCAAGGTGTTTTGGTGTCTCTGGACAACATGACTCAGCCCAGGAGACTGCTTAGTTATAATCCAGATTTTATGTAACATGTATAGAATAATCAGATACATCACCAGAAATAAAGGGGCCTAGGGAGAACCAGAGGTTCAAATTTAGGGTCTCCTAGGGTAGATCTGACCTCATTTCTCCCGTCCTCATTTTTCCATGTTCATCTTTTTTAGGCTTTTGCTTTCTCATGCAACTGAGCAAGTGCTTGGCCTTCATAAGTCAGGAAGAAAATAAATCCTTATTTTAAAGTGTGGAGGGGTAAATAGGAAGGGTCTGATTATTCCTTGATTTAGTAATATAATGTTGATTAGTAATGCAGTCCTAGTTATGGCCCCTCTTTTGTAAAGGAGGGAGAGCAGAGGATGTGTGGGATTAATCTTTCTTCTAATGACAGATCTTAGTGGTAGAAGTAGATTTGAGGAATCCCCCATTGTTTATTTAGGCTCTGGGTGAACAATGGGTGCTAACCACCTGGCTGGTACCATAAAAGTACCTTGAAGAAGTTACAAGGCTTGGAAAGGCTTCTTATTTGAGAGGTCTTTACTGATCATCTCTCTATTCCCTTTTGTATTTTTTTGATAAGTGATAATCTTTTTCTCCTTTAAATTTAAGGTTCCTCAGAAAATTTTGAGTAAATGGGAAGCCAGTGTTGGTCTTGCTGAACAGTATGATGTTCCCAAAGGGTCGAAGAACCGAAGATGTGTCACCAGTTCAATCAAGTTGGACAGTGAGGAGGATATGCCATTTGAGGACTGTACAAATGATCCTGAATCAGAACATGACCTGTTACTTAATGGCTGCTTGAAATCTCTGGCTTTTGACTCTGAACATTCTGCAGATGAGAAGGAAAAGCCTTGTGCTAAGTCTCGAGCCAGAAAGAGTTCTGATAATCCAAAAAGGACTAGTATGAAAAAGGGCCACATGCAATTTGAAGCACATAAGGAAGAACGAAGGGGAAAGATTCCAGAGAACCTTGGCCTAAACTTTATTTCTGGGGATGTATCTGATAAGCAGGCCTCTAATGAACTTTCCAGGATAGCAAACAGCCTCACGGGGTCCAACACTGCCCCAGGAAGTTTCCTGTTTTCTTCTTGTGCGAAAAACACAGCAAAGAAAGAATTTGAGACTTCAAATTGTGACTCTTTACTGGGCTTGTCTGAGGGTGCCTTGATCTCTAAACGTTCTGGGGAGAAGAAGAAACTCCAACGAGGTTTGGTGTGTAGTTCAAAAGTGCAGCTCTGTTACATTGGAACAGGTGATGAAGAAAAGCGAAGTGATTCCATTAGTATCTGTACCACTTCTGATGATGGAAGCAGTGATCTGGATCCCATAGATCACAGTTCAGAGTCTGATAACAGTGTCCTTGAAATTACAGATGCTTTTGATAGAACAGAGAATATGTTATCTGTGCAGAAAAATGAAAAGGTAAAGTATACTAGGTATCCTGCCACAAACACTAAGGTAAAAGCAAAGCAGAAGTCCCTCATTACTAACTCACATACAGACCACCTAATGGATTGTACTAAGACAGCAGAGCCTGGAACTGAGACATCTCAGGTTAATCTCTCTGATCTTAAAGTATCTACTGTTGTCCGCAAACCCCAATCGGATTTTAGAAATGATGGTTTCTCTCCAAAATTCAACACACCATCAAGCATTTCCAGTGAGAACTCACTAATAAAAGGCGGGGCTACAAATCAAGCTCTATTACATTCAAAAAGCAAACAGCCCAAGATCCGAAGTATAAAGTGCAAACATAAAGAAAATCCAGTTGTAGTGGAACCTCCAGTTATAAATGAGGACTGCAGTTTGAAATGCTGTTCTTCTGATACCAAAGGCTCTCCTTTGGCCAGCATTTCCAAAAGTGGGAAAGTGGATGGGCTAAAACTACTGAGCAACATGCATGAGAAAACCAGGGATTCAAATGACATAGAAACAGCAGTGGTGAAACATGTTCTGTCAGAGTTGAAGGAACTCTCTTATAGATCCTTAAGTGAAGATATGAGTGACTCTGGAACATCAAAGCCATCAAAACCATTACTTTTTTCTCCTGCCTCTGGTCAGAATCATATACCTATTGAACCAGACTACAAATTCAGTACATTGTTAATGATGTTAAAAGATATGCATGATAGTAAGACCAAGGAGCAACGGTTAATGACTGCTCAGAACTTGGTCTCTTATCGGAGTCCTGGTCTTGGGGACTGTTCTACAAGTAGTCCTGTAGGTGCATCTAAGGTCTTGGTTTCAGGAAGCTCCACTCACAGTTCAGAAAAAAATGGAGATGGCACTCAGAACCCAGTCCGTCCTAGCTCTAGTGGGGGTGACTCTGCAGTGTCTGGAGAGTTGTCTGTATCTGTACCTGGCCTAGTGTCTGACAGAAGAGACATCCCTGCTTCTGGTAAAAGTCGTTCAAACTGTGTTACTAGGCGCAACTGTGGGCGATCAAAACCATCATCTAAATTGCGAGATAGTTTTTCAGCCCAGTTGGGAAAGAACACATTGAACCGTAAAGCCTTAAAGACAGAGCGCAAAAGAAAACTCAACCGACTTCCAGCTGTAACTCTTGAGGCCGCACTGCAGGGAGACAGAGCCAGTGGAGGTTCAGAGAATGGTTCCTCAAGAGGTGGGCTAGAAGACCCTGGTAAAGAGGAAGCCCTTCAGTTAATAGGCCATTTAACAAGTGAAGACAGTGCCCATTTTTCCAGTATTCATTTTGATAACAAAGTCAACCAGTCTGACTCTGATAAAATTCCTGAGAAAGTCCCCTCTTTTGAAAACAGAAAAGGCCCAGAGGTGGATACTGAAATGAACAGTGAGAATGATGAACCCAGTGGTGTAAATCAAGCGGTGCCTAAAAAGCGGTGGCAGCGTTTAAACCAAAGGCGCACTAAACCTCGGAAGCGCACTAACAGATTTAGGGAGAAAGAAAACTCTGAGGGTGCCTTTGGGGTTTTGCTTCCAGCTGACCCCATAAAGAAGGGGGATGAGTTCCCAGAGCATAGACCCCCTACTTCAACAAACATACTAGAGGATACACTGGCAGATCCCAATCATTCCAGCCGCTTAGATTCAGTTGGACCACGGTTGAATGTTTGTGATAAATCCAGTGCCAGCATTGAAGAGATGGAAAAAGAGCCGGGAATTCCCAGTTTGACACCCCAGCCTGAGCTCCCTGAACCAGGTAAGGACCCCTGACAATGATAAGGATTAGAGAAGTAGTGGTGATAATGTTACCCTTCTGAAGTTGGGCTATTTTGATGGAAGGGCTAAGTGTAAATTGGGAAGAAAGTACTATCACTTGAAGGATGAGCATTGTGTACAAGATCTGAATTTTGAGGGCCAGGTTTCCATATTTCAGAAATTATGTTTACCAGAAGCTCGTTCTCTCTCTCTTTTTTTAAAATTTTATTTATTTGAGATAGAGTGAGAGAGCGAGCACAAGAAGGGGAGCTACAGGCAGAGAGAGAAGCAGACTCCCCACTGAGCAGAGAGCCTGATATGGGGCTTGATCCCAGGACCCTGGGATCATGACCTGAGCCGAAGGCAGACGCTTAACCAACTGAGCCACCCAGGTGTCCCAAACCCCCGACCTTTTTAAATCTATGAAACTTTTTGGGACTCAATCTGGCATTGTACGTAATTTAGAGGCTCTGAGCCTAAAATTTAAGTATAGTTATTAGTTTACAGAAAGTGAATAGATTTTATTGAATGTTAGGCTTCCTTTACCACAATTTAAGGAAGGTCCATTGATGATGTAGACAAAAGGGACATTTGCTTTTGGGAAAAAGAAAGTGTTCTGTAGTACTTATTTGAAGGCTTTAGATGTCTTAACTTCCCTTCTGTAACAAGGTTTGAGAACAACAAAAAACTGAAGTACCAGGGTATCTTACCTTAGCAGCAGAAGAAAACAGCAGAAGTCTTTCAAGATATTAATATTATATACAGTATAATTGTTGAGGATAAAACTGACTATCCTTTTCCCCCCCATTTTTATTGTTATGTTAATCACCATACATTACATCATTAGTTTTTGATGTAGTGTTCCATGATTCATTGTTTGTGCATAAC